ACAGATGAATTATACTGCGTTCCGATTGGACTGGAACGAAACGAGCTGTGGAGAGAGCTATTTCGTGATAGCTGCTCAGACGTTGGAAGTTGTTCGGGCAAACAGCTAGTCTGTTGTACGCTAGAATTGTTACCCTGCGCCAATCCCTCCGATTCATATGGATTCAAAATAGTTGGTGGTGCAGAAACATTTTGAGTCGACAAGAACGTCTGTAATGCTGGATTTGGATATGGCTTTGCAGTGTTAGACGTTAGATCAGGCGGTGGTGCATACTTTAAGCGGCGTTGATTACCAAGTCGATAAGAAACGGGCGCTTTAACAAGAAATAATAATTGTTTCTGATTAGATATGCTCTCCAGCAAACAGAAAGTTACATGTAACGTACCTGTTAGTGTATTATATTACAATTATATTGTTGACTAGAAAATTATAACTAACAAGTACGCTACATATAACTTTGTATTTGCTGGGACAATAAATAATATATTCAATAAAAATTCATTAAATATACATATATAAACAACATGTAAAAATAAATTAAAATTAAAATTAATCTTGAAGTTCTTATAGCGAATTCAATTGGACGCACTAGTGCATATTAAAGTCGTTATACACTAATTTAATCTGTAAAATGCCAATATATCGAATTATAAAATACAGATTTTACTTAACCGTACAATAAAATGTATTGAGGATTTCATGATTTAATCCGCCTTTATATTAAACACATTTTTATATTAATTTGTGTATAACGGCTTTAATGTGCACCAATGCGCATTGAGTGTATCCAATAGAATTTGTTATTAGAATTGCATTATGTTATGTCTATCAAATTACATATGTATAAATAGTAAATATTTAAAATTTGTTATAAAGAAAATTGTATTAATATTTATTAAAGTTTTATTATTATAATTATAAATTTTTATTCATAAATTCAAGCATTTACCGTAGCCGGGTTGAGATATACTGGGTGGAGCTGCCGGCTGAGGAGGATTGGATACAGTACCAGAAGGAAAAGCAGCAAATCCTGACAAGTTTGTACTTCGAGAATCCTGAGGATTAATTGCTAAGAATCCTGGTGTTTCCGACGGAAAACCATGATATCCTTGCGACGTTATGTAAGGATTAGGTTCATGCGTTGTTCCGCTGGTGTTCTCGGGTATCTGACTTATTTGCGGTCCCGAGGAATCGGATTTAATCGATAACGACAGATTCGGCAGAGAAGAAAGAATCGATGTAAGATATCCAGATTTTCCTGGCTGATTCGCGATATCCTTGTATTCTTTTGGCTGAGAAGATACATTGGTGGAAGAATCCTCGTTCGTTCGTAATGGAGATTGAGATTGGATATTGACTGGCTCTTGTCCTATGAAATTGTCCAACTCAGTATCTAAAAAAAGATGACAGCTTACTTATTTAATCTAAAAAAGTCAGATAATAATATTTTATATTATCTTATATTAATATATTTTTGTATCTTCCATTTAAAAGTGTTGCTTATGGTAGAAATATTGTATAATAAATATAATTTTTTAATACATTTGTTTGGCGTACTTAAAATGAATTCATACTTCTACTGTAAACATTTTACAATAATATATATTTATACAAAGATAAAAAAACATTAAAAATGAAATGACAAAAATATTTATGTAATATAGCTTTAACATTAACATTATTTTCTACAAAATAAATATTTTTTTAGAAATTTAAGCAAAATTTTCAAAAGTTACTACGGCATTTAATAATTCTTAGTACATCCATTTAATAATTCTTAAGTAATCAGATATAACGATGTGTTCATAAAAAAATCCCTTTCGACTAAATTCTCCAACAGATTATTCACAAACTGTCAATATTGAACAGGATGCAATGAACGTAAGAACCAGTGACGAAGATAATACGAGCCAACATGGACTATTCTTACATTTTTACGTAGTTGATTACCAGCAGTTTAATACACATTGAATTACCAATTTTTTTGTAATGACACATGTCTTAATATTTATGAGTTACCCATATCATCACGTGTGAGAATAATTTATAATAATTATAATAATGTCTGTTGCATAAAAAAATTCATTTCAGTGGTTTGTTAACATTTCCATACTTGCTTTATTCGATACTAATCTCCATGCACATGCTAGTAATTAATTATACAAGCATATGCGATTTACGCTTCAATAAAATTTTTTTATTTGTATTTGTAAGAATAGGTAAGAAACGATATTGCTTTATCAACATCACATAACTTTAACAATTACAATAAATGCTTGATTCAAAGCGTTCAAAATATTAAATGCAAGAATCAAGATATTAAATGTAATAATTCATTAAATACAACGTATAGTATTTATAAGTTCATCAAAACATCATATATCAAAGTTTGCTCATAACGAGACACCTTCGATTGTGCAACAACGCGCGTTAACACCCAAATTTACTTTTGCGTTCACGTTATCGTCAATGTAACTGAAGACACGTTACCCTTTTGTAAACTTACGCGAACGAAACTTTATAAGTATGCCGCACATTTTTGTGTCGACTCTTTCGTTCGAGATTTCCGTTGCAGTCACGGTATGGAATTACGTGTGTTCCTGCTTTTTGTGACGTGCTGTGTGACTTATATTCTATGCAAAAATGCAGTCGGTGGATCAACGCTCACTAAAGTTTTCCCGTCAATTAATAATGCTTCTCAATCGGATGCGAGAATATCTGAGATAGGTACAAGAACTGAACGATCAATTGAAATGAAAACGAGATCAGATGGGATAACTTTGAAGGATTATTGGTCTAAGCCTGAAACTCTTCCACGAGAATCTCTGTTTATCGAAGATTTATTAATGAAGACGAGGATTTTCAACGACTTTAAAAAAACAAAATGTTCTAGGTTTGTTATTAATTCATATAATAAAAATATTTATGTAAGAATAATAGTAAACATTTCAATATAATTTTTATCCTGTTTTATTCGCTTGCGGATACATTTGTAATATATAAACGCAAATAGAAAATCATATTTAAAAAATAGTATTTCTAAGAAATCAATATTTTTCTAAAATAACCGTAAAAAATATTTCTGTTAAAAGGTACTGTATGCAACAATTGGGAATTAGCAAAGGTTTTGAAGATATTAAACTTATTTTATCATTTGCCAATCAGAATGGAGATGGTAATAATTTTCATATAACATGAATAATATAGTGCAATCTAACATAAATGAACTTTTTTTAAATTATCATTGTTGTCGACATTGTTTATCATGTTCGATTAAATATTGACGTAAGTAAATGATACGAATTGTGCTGATATTGATAATTACTAAGTTCTAACTGCATATAATGATAATTGATGACGCATAATTAAAAATTATCTGAAATTTTCGAGATAAGGCTATGAATAATATGACGTACATTAATAACATCAATCAATACCTTATTATAAGACATATATTGAATAACTATATATTCTCTGGATATCGATTTAAAAAGTCAATTTATAAGCTAAGAGATATGATCATCAATATATTGAAGTATGCTTACTCATCTTATGTACACTGTTAAATCTATAGTATCAAATTTAACTTAACGTTAGTCACCACTGCTCCTATTCAATCATATCGTTATTTTATACTAAAACAATGGTTACATTCGATACTATACAGTGTCAATTTGATACTATGTAGTGTCAAATTGACACGATATAAAGTCAAATTTAATTATCGTTTTGGTAAAAAATAATGATATATCTAGTAAGAGCAGTGACGACTCATGTTAGGTTAAATTTGACACTATAGATTTAACAGTGTAAGATATTTTATTAAAAAAGTAATGTATATGAGATATATAATGCTTTTTAAAAAACATGAACTAGTGTTCTCGATGAATACAAAAATTTGTAATTGAGCTAGAAATTATATTTATTTAAAAATTGAAAAATGTATTCGTAAATTCATTCAAAACTGTGAGTTTCCAAAAACATTTATTCATGAAAAAATAATTATTTTATGAGTATTCATATTTATTCAAAATATTCAAACAAGATATAATGTAAAAAAAGAAAACTTCAATAAACAACCGGTGTCTTTAGTCAACACTTTGATGATTCTATAACGAAAGAAAAATGAATAGTATTTATTTTCATTTATAATACTCAGTGATGGGGCAAAAATTTAGAAATTAAAAAGAATATTTTAAAAGATAATACATTCTATTTGTCCATCTAAACTATTTTTACAGATTTTATGCTTGTAAACTATGTACAGATAATGCAAAGTAGATGTGAATGCGAAATCGGAAATATTCATAATTATATTCACAAAAATATTTCTTTGAATCGAATGAGAAATATTTATTCATTTCTTGATGAATACAGAAAGATATATTCAAACTCGTATATTCATATTCATTATTTATTCAATTATTCGAATATTGTGTATTTTCCTTATATTAAATCATGAACAGAAAATTAACGACAATATTAAATCGAATATTTTTCAGTTTTATTATATTTAAATAAATATTTCGTACGTATAAAATAGATCTAACACAAATTATAAAAATAATATTGTAAGCAAGCTGTATATAATTATTTTATATATCATTTCAGATTATTTTTCAATAGAAAATAATTTAAATTTCAAGATATTAAAACATTTATCTATCGATAATAAAAGTTCAACAATCTTTGATTATTGCCAAGTAAGTTAATTTTGTAAAAACCGTGAAAATCTCGATAAATATATTATTACATATTTAACATTTGTAGATCTATCTTAATTTGAACTGTGACATCGTAAACATGGAAAGAAATTTAGTTATAAAAAACAATGAATTTTACTCGAAAGCAAAATTTAATCGACAAAACATTGAGATATTTAAAAATTGTTTTACAAATATCCCAGAATTTTTGGTAAGACTAAAATTAATATGTCCGTATGAAAAAAGAAAAAAATAATTAATAAAATATATATATCTTAGAAAAAATTAGAACACAAAATTAATTTGAGTGGATATACCGAAACGAATTTTCAAACTAATGCCAATGTAACCGGAATTGCAATCAACATTTTGGGAAATCTTACGCGTGCAGTTTTGACAATAGCTAGTAATAGTGAGTAATTCTTCATTTACTTTTAAATATAACAAGAATCTGTTTTATTTAAAAATATTTCTACCCAAACTATTTTCTGCAAACAAGATTTAACGACTAATTTTATATATGATATGCTCAGTTTCTCATATTTTGACATTCGAACGTTTAAGATACCTGTAAAGTCGCAATAAATAAATAAAGTAATGATCGAAAGCGAATATCACGTTTAATATGTTTCTGAACATATCTATAGCGATAGTTACGACGCGACGTATACATAGATAAAAAAATATAATTTTTCATAGTACATGATAACTAAATTAATTAATATAACGTAAAAATACTAAATGTATTCTTATTATTCTTATTAATATATGAAAATAAATTTGAAACATTTTATATTATAACCCCTTGTACTTAAAAAAGTACTTGTTATATAAAAAAAAATTATTTTACAATACGAAACAGATTGCAGATTGTATCAAATTATCACATGTGATGTTTCTGTCATTTATATGAGCTTTTTTCCTGTTATTAGAGGCAGTAAATCATATATAGAATTGTCGTATATCCGGTTTCGTTTAACCTCTCTACATCAAGGGCAGAATCGATCTGGTGGTTACTTTCTATGTATTCATTGTATCACACTAATAATTACGTCATACAAGAATTAGTTTTTTGCATTTTTATCTATTTATAAGATTTTTCTAATTTTAACCACAGTATATTTTACACAGTATACTTCACACACAACTCTTACAATCAATAAATAAGTTCCAAACGATGCAAAAGAACAGAATATTGGAATTCTAATTCTTTTATGGCAAACAATTTGTCTTACCCTCAAAACCAATGCAATGTTTAATTCAAGACAAATTTTCACTTCCAACATGCACTTTAACAGACAAAACGATACAGAGACCAGAAATAGTAATATCATTGGCAAGTATATATGACACGAAAGGGGTGGCTATCGGCGCGCGCAACCTTCCGGATAGATTGTGCGTGAAGCTAACGGGGATGGAAAATTCAAAGTACAACATGGACGTAATTGCTTATTATGGAGCAAATAAGAAAAATAACATGAGAGGTGATATTATCAACATTAATTCTATAAGTGGTAAGCAAAATTTCAATCTGTGGTGTTAATCATGCAACAGCGTACAAAAAAATAAAAGCTATTTTTTATATATAAATGCATTATAAAAAAATATATTTAAAATATTACTCGCATTTATTTTTATATTTATAGAATGCCATATAAATCCCCAACATGAATTGCTGCACAGATATTCTGCTGACATTTAGACGTACATATATGTACTGATATTGATTCATGAAGCTTCAATCATGAAGCTCCTGATATAAAATAATTAACTGTATTGTACATTACAAGATGTCACACTTTATCTTTTATTTTATAATCTTTTATTATATATATATATATAAAATAACCAAATAAATCTTAAAATAACATTATGATAATTTGGAGGTATTATTGAGCTGTCTATAAACATAAAGTTTACACGGATATAATAGTTTCAACAAAAATTTGTCGAATACAATATAACAACTTTGAAGAATATAATACTATTTCAGTATGGAAAATAAATCGAAATTATAACATTATATTATTGCAAATATAAAATAAAGTAAATTTTATAATGCAGAAACAATTGTGATTTAAGTGGAAGAAATAAATGTAGAATCATGGATACGTCAAAAGGAATATACGTCGCAGCTTTATCACCAGTTATGCACTATGATCGGATATTTATATATTATTATATATATATATGAATCACATATCATACAATGCTTTCATTTTCTCGTAACAATAAAAGGGAAATCACTCACTCTTATCTTCGCTCAAATAAACCGCGACCTAACAGTCGGCAAAACGCGCGAGATGTATTCGTGCACTCTTATGCAACTTCCAACTTCCTCTTAACACGGCAGCCGCCTGACAACTACCAATCCGTTAACTTCTGGCTCGCGGATACGCGAGATTGTGCAATTCACTGATTGCCCTTTGGCCACATCTCTCTCTCTCTCTCTCTTTCTCTTTTATGTTTACTTGATTTACTCTGATGCTCATTAATTCGCACAAGAAGTAAGCTAGAAAAATTCCTTGTTTTTTTTCTCATCATAATATGCAAGATAAAACTGGCTAGGAAAAATGAATACTTCCAATTACAAAGAAATGTGTAATCAAATATTTCTTGGGACAGAGATTCAAATAACTACTCTCTTACGACTATTAAGTTTCTCTAAACGATGCCAAAACTATTATTATCTACAATTCTATTTCTAATCGATCTGCCTGTAGTATACCTGTTTTTCTTATCATGCATTTTAGTTAAAGTAATTTAAAAAATGGTCCATATTATTAATTTTTTTAAGTATTTATTTCTTTTACATGGATTTTCGTTCTGTCTGCAGTTACAATAACTTTGTGATTTCATTTTTTTTAAATTACTCTTTGCTTTTTATATTTTTGATAAATATATGATTATATTCCAGCGTAATAAAAATCTATTATTTTCAGTTTTAGTGGCATAGAAATTTAAAGTCTTTGCAATCAGAAATTTTATATACGCTTCTGAATAATGTGAATAATGAAATTGAAAAACCTTGTGGAATAATATTACCTGTGCTGTTTGACAAACCAAAATTTTAAGAATTAATTATACATATATAATGTATACATATATCCTTTATGTGATAGAATATAAAAAAATAAAATAATATGCTATGACATATTAAAATATATATTACTGGAAATTTATATTTATTTCCTTCTTCTCTTTTTCTCTCTAGAGGTTAATAAAAAAAAGGATTTTTTCTCTCTAAATGAGATATTAGATAAAATACATATCACACGAGCCAAAACATCAACTGTAATTGAAGTAAGTTAAATAAAATTGATCAATTACATTATTTTATATAATATGCATATATTATTAAAATATTTTTAATCATTAAATTATTTTATAGGAAACTAACAAGAACGCTGCCAATATATATAATTTACCAAATTCTATTATAAATAAAAAGCGAAAATTTGAGAGATCAGCAGAAATTATGGACCCAAGAAGAAATAATGATGAAATAACAGATAATTTTTCTGATATATCACTCTCCAAGCGTGAATCTACTGCAGGAATTGATAAAAATAATATTAATCATTTCGTACTACGTAACAATTCTTTGATAAGTTATGGTGAATTTAAGATTTTATCAAATTTCTCAAATATCAAGGTATTTAAAGAATATATTTTTATTGAGACTATGAATATTTTTTATGAATTTATAGTACTGACTTTCTTATTAACTGTTTATTAAAATTTTATAATAAATAAGATTTTACACTTTGCAGGAGCAACAGCAGAAAATTCAAGCGCGATCGTCGGAAATCGCATCATTAAATGAAGATATTGATGCAAAGATGAAATCACCTGGTGGGGGGGAGATCGTATCGATGCAAATGGATAGTGACCAAAGCCAGAAACTTTCAACGCAAATTAATGAGAATTCTTTCGAAAGAAGAAAGCTACTGTTAGATGTGAATGCAAACAGCAAACTGATTGCTACACCAGGAACAACACATAGAGTGATTTTTGATGCGACAAATAACTGCGTCCTTCCAGTTAGATATGCAATTCGAGCGAGAAGCTCCCCATTTAGAATTTATAATATTCAACCAGTATAGTAAGTAAATTACTTTAATTAAAATAATTCAAAAATTATTTAAAGTAATTAATAAAATAAAGATTAGTTTCTTTTAGAAATTTTAAAGGAAACTATAAAAGTCGATGAATCAAACTGGTAAATTACAGTGTATATAAGTCAATGAAAAAAAAAAAAAGACAAATGTGGTATTTACAGTGAACAATTATTTATAATATTAGTCATAAATATTTACAAGTAAATATTAATTTATGATTAATTAAATAGCACTTTTAATTTTGATTCTTACTTAGGTTTCTCTTTACCGTGAGATTGTTGAATAAAAATGCGCGTATTTATGTAACTGCTACATTACACTACCAAGTAACCTCAACATTTCAGCAACGACAAACAACAGGTCGGTATTCATAGTCAATTTTTATATTTAAGATCGTCTTAAGTTCAGTCTTGAGGTGTCACGAATCAGAGGGCCGCATTAGCGTCTTAAGACATTATTTAAGATGATCTTGAAATAAGAACCGACTATGAATACTAGCCTTAGTCCCAGATATAACCATATATAAATATTGTTTATTTACTTTTTATACAAAGAGTTTCTAGAACCATCCACGTGAACACACATCTTGTTGTGTTATTCACTTTTATTTAAATATATTGATAGTTAATCATTTTAGTAAGAATTAAAGGTTATAAAAACATCTCATTTATTATACAGCAATATCTTTATATACATTAATTAAAGACATTTCAAATAAAAGGCTAATATCACTATTTACTGTGATGTTAGCAGTAAAATCAATATTTTAAAAATTTATCACAATCATAGAGCATAATTATATTGAAACATTAAATGTTTAATACAGCTTATGTGTGTGTGAAGTAAAACTTTGTATCTGACGAATATATCTATTTTTTCTAAAAATTTGTTATCTTTATAAATTTGTATCCAACAGTATGTGGTTGTATCCGGGACAGACAGATCAGGTAGCTGTAGATATTCTTGTACCAACGGGAACCCAAGAAACTGTCAATACGCTTACACTATTTATCGTTGGTACTGAAATATTGGAGAAATCAGTACAGGTTTTTGTTTACAATGAGCTTTCGAAAAACATTGACAATGTAAAACCAACAATTGAATATTGGTTCAATAGCAACTGTGCCGGTAAACTGGACAAAGATCGTTGCGAAAAAACATTTTGGAGTGCTGATATTACTGTCCAAGATAATGATTCAGGTAATTAATAAATTATGTAATAGTGTATATAGTGTGTATATAAATGATAATAATAAAAACTGTTGTATAATCGAATCACTTTCTTTTTTTTATACAGGTTTAAAAAGTGTAATAGCAATACCAAATGGGTTATACCCACGCACTAAATATATAAGTGGCACAAAAGATCGAGTTACATTTTACTACTTATCTACTTGCTGTACACCAACAGCTACAATTACAGCGATAGATATATCGGAAAATCAGTACACTCGTAATATTGATGTAACAGCGTGGGACAATCTATCACAAGGAGAAATAGCAGCTGTCGTACTCGGTGCGCTATTACTTCTTTTACTTATAGTATGTGTCATTATTGCAATAGTGTATTGTGTTCGTAAAAGGAATAGTCATGATCTACCTTACACAAAAAGATATGGCTCTAGATCACAGCCTGCTCGAACCGAAAGAACCAGTTTCTAACAATACTTATAAGAATCAACTGTAATATCGTTATCATGATCAATTATATCATAAAAACTGTAAATGAAACTTCGAAAATATTATTCAGAGTGTATATAAATAAAGTATTTAATTAATTCCTATGTTGTGTGTGTAAATCAAATTGATACCATAAGCATGATGGAGTAATGCATATGATTTATCTATATACGTCCACATATATAAATTAAACTCACAAGATACGAAAAACTTAGCACTTCCTCTATTTCCAGTCAAATCACTCAATTAATTATTAAAGAACATAACATATTTTCTACACTAGACACCTGTTTGATGGATTTTTCAGTATGAATGCAATATACACTTTGCTCTTGCAAGTCCATCCATGCAATTCTGTTTGGAAAAACTTTTATGATTTAAAACCTCTATCTATTACAGTTAAAAGCACGTCGCAAAAACGCACACGCAAAGAAATCATCTTACATGCCTGTTGCGTCATTGTGACTTCTGTGCATATATTTTATAAACTTTATAAAAACTGTCTAGGTTGGCCTAGATAAATGTGAACGTTCCACGCTGGAGTCAGGGACTTTCATCACACGGCCTTTTTCACTGTAATGCCGACAGAGTAAAAGATGACTGAATACAGATGTTAGCCTACGAATGCATTCCAGTAGTCCAGTACATGACCATACATGACAGAGGTGTGATGCTGAAGAAGTTAAACACATCGAAGTGGAATAAACGGAGCAGAGGCTGCTCCCTTTTGAATTTTGTTTCGACCACTAACTAATTCTCTGAAGCTATACCATCAGATTGAATAATACGCTAAATTTTCAGACTGCTGAGCCCCGCCCACACAGCTGGTGTCGCAGGTGTGACTGGCACCAGCAATGTGTTTTCCGCATAATTATCGAAGGGAAAGTCCGGACCAGCAGCGGACAATAATGGATTTTTCATTTTCCGCGACATGTCGTTCATGTTCACTGCGATGTCGAAGCAAACGCGGTTTGCACTGACATTAGAGGGTATTTACCCTTTACAATAAAACAAGCACGTGAACTGTTTTTTCAAATTCTTCTACGAAATACAAACTTGCACGACTTATCCACGTAAGCACATGTGCCTGTCGCAGTAATTTGACAGTGAGTACGTTGCGCCTGTTCCATGCGCTTATGGAACGTAACTTTCTCGAGACATCATCGACATAGGAAGTTTCGTGCGTCCCAATTTTATATTGGTATTATGACTTGAACATGTATCAAAGATGGCGCTAAAATCGGCGATATTTCCACAAAACAAAAGAAAAGGAATATAGTATATATTGTTCAATTTAATACTATTGAAAATAAACCCTTATCAAACAATAAACATAAATAATTTAAAAAGTATTTAATATTGCTTTAATCAGATTTGATATTAATAATAATAATAATAATAATTTTTAGTTGCTTGCGTGGAATAAGTTTATTTTACAATAATCTTCTACCTACCTATGCAATCAAATAAATTCATTTTACTGACCATTTCAAACATTAATTTTATTTACAGAAATTATCTGAAAACTCAGTGGATAATTCCTTCTTTTTTATCTACATCTTTTCATGTTATGTGTGTGTGATTATTAATTATAGCTTCTTATTTATTTATTTATTATTTTTATTTACGTACAATTTTGTTATTTAAATAAATTTCATCAAACGATTCATTTTGCACGTTGTCTTTTTTTCTATTAATGAATTTTCGCGCTTCGCAATATTACGATTTAGATTTACTCATGGCTTTACTGACTATTCTTTATACTTTATATTATAGGAGAAAGAGAAATAACTGAAGGGAAATAGTTATTTTTAATTCTGTGCTCATATTCTGTACCCCTTACTGATGTGTCGGTATTATATTTTTGTTGCGCAGCTCTTTACCGAAAAAATTGCGCAACGATAAATGTAACAATACCGACACATCGCGTTATCGAAAGGATATATAGAATATGGACCTAAAGAAAGGGGAATGTGCACGAGTGAAATGGAAAAGGTGATCTGATTAGTTAAACCATGTTGTAATCACCCCATTAAACAAGTGAGAACGTACTTTACTCTAAAGTCTAGGGTTAATGTGTTTACACACAAGAGTAAATAAAATTATTTTATATTACAATATTTAAAAAATTCTTTATAAATTCTTCAAATTTTGTGATGCTTTCATTATAAATGAAATACAATAAAAATTTTATATGTTAATAGTTAATACAAAAAGTATGCCATGTTTTAATGTTTATAATTACCCTTCAATTTGTCCAAAATTCAACAATTCCTATTACAACAATTATTGTAATAACTCTTTAGTCATTCCTTATTTTCATGGTAATAAGTATAATATTAAAATATAATATAATATTAAAAACATGAAACTGAAATATTGTAATTATTAAAAAGTTACATAATCATTTATAAAAATACAATATTTTTACTACAAAACTTATGTAATTGCCAACCGCTAAATTTATAAATATTAATATAAAATAATACTAAATTTTTAGAAAATAATTTCTAAATAATATCTTTAATATTTTCTATCGATTATATACATATGTAGCTAAAATCACTCAAAGCAATATATCATTAAAAATTTATTAAACGTAGCTAAATAGATAGAACTTATCAACCATTGATAATTACATCTCTATTTCATCGGTAGTTAGTCTTGAAGAAAACTTTAGCTTTCAATATCTACACTTGAAGAATATAATCATTTTACTCACAATTTTTCGTTTATAATAACGTTAATTTCCTCTCATTAAAAAACATTAAATCAAAAATTTCTATTTTTTACAAATTTAGAATTAATAATTTATATACAAACAATTAAATAAATTATAATATCTTTTAAAAACTACTTTATATAATAATTACATGATACTTTAAAATGATTTTTTTTATAAAAATAATAATGTTTGTGTCTATATAGAAAATGTATTAAGAGAGATAAATAACTATTCTGATTACATTATATTATTATACCAATATTATTTGCAAAAATTATATTGTTTGCAAGAAGGTGATTATATTGTATTATTATTATAATTATACTTATTATACTATAATATGTTATTTGAAACATCTTGTATAACTATAAAATGTTTTATAATATTTTGAATTACGTAAGAAGCATCATTATTTACTTTGAAACATATTGGATACCTAATTTATATTCGACTTACAATTAGTTATCTCATTTCTTTATTAAATACAGATGTGGTAATTACATCTATAATATTAGAAAAATAATTAGATTTGTATATAATTTCGATGACATAAAAGCAATTAAGAAAAAACTGTGAAAATACAGTATAACTCATATATGAAGAACTTTTAATAGTTGCAGTCTTATACTTCCATCTAATATATTCGATAATATGTCAAAATGTTAGTTATGTCTCTATTGTATAGGTCCTCATTAATCGAGAATTATTTTAATCAACGTGCTTTGACTTCCATAGGCTCATATTGCGAAAGATTAAACACCAGAATCCGATTTCCGATTTAATCCTTTTTGGCAAGAGCTTACGCAAAGATGAAGGCATTAAAACTTCAAAGCGTGGCGTAATTAGTAGCATGTGATACAAATACTAAAGATTTGCTTGTCCCTTATATGTGCTAAGCGAAACTTTAACCCTTTGTGCATGCTCTCCCTAATGATCCGAGTTTATCAACAGGTTAATCTTTGATCGTCTTTTAAGTATGATTCGCGTAGAAAATACAGTGTGTAAATTTATTTATTATTCTTTAAAGCAGTTTACAAAACAATTTTTTTTAATAATTTATCATTACTTTTATGCATATTAATTTCATTTAAAAATAATTTTTTAATGATGTGTATAAAAAATTTTACAGACATTATATATACACTGAGAAAAATATCCAGGCTTTTTCCGATCATTAATGATCGGATTGTCCG